ATAAATCGTGTAATACATATATATATATATACTATAAATATATAATTATATCAAGTTTTGACCTACGATATAAAAACTATTTACAGCAAAAAAAAAAGACACCTACTTTTACACACTAAAAACTATATTATAGAATAAATATTCCTAAACTGGGTAGCAAAACAGTTTGGGTATTAAAAAACTTAATAAAATTTAGTTGGGGTATTTATATGAAATTTTCCCTTTAATATTCAATCATTATTTATCATTTCTATATAATCCGATACTAAATTCTGTATATGAATATTTTAAATCTGTCATAATTTTTTTAAAAATTACTAAACAAAAATTAGTTTTTTACTACTACTTATAACTTAAACTGAAATTAGATCCATTTGTAAGATTTAATAATAGAGAAGAAAATATAAAATAATTTTCAAGTTTTTGGAACTTTGCATATATTAGTTTGTCAAATTATTGAACACAAATTCAAAAACAATATATATATATATAAGAAGTAACAAATATATGTGAGTTTAAAATAATTTATTAAATAAAACAAACAAATTATAAAATTTAAGTGTTTAAAAAGTTATATAAATAAGTAAATATATATATATATATATACATAAAATGACAATAAACACCGCAGGATCGTGCAGGTCAAGCTCTAGTTTCTCATTAAAATCAGGATAAAAATATGTCATCACATACTGAGAAGAGTAGTTTTCAAAAGACAAATAAATATAGGTATTTTTCAAATTTAAAGATGGAAGGTATTTTTCAAATTTAAAGATAGAAGGTATTTTTCAAATTTAAAACTTGGATTGGATAATTTCGGTTCAGTATAGTTAAAATTTTCAGTCGATAGTAATTTACCCAGATCTATTAACACATAGTTTTCAATAATTTAGCTTAGCAGGTTAGTTGGTATATCAATCCCGGTTAGTTCGGTTTGGTAGCTACAGTCCCCAAGCTGAGCACACTTCGGACTCGATATGATTGTTGTATTTAGTGTGGAATCTCACAAATACTACTAAGGCCAGTATTCCATAATGATCATTCCCTAAATCCTAAGACATCGATTCTCAAATCACAGAAAACCTCTATGCTCAAAGCCTCAAAGGTTAGGTTCACAAACTAAATCATATATACACCTAAAATGTGAGAACGAAATAATTTCTTTCCGCAACTCAGGCATGACCATAAGCCCGGCCACGGCCAAGTAAAATCCGCGAACTACCAGACAACATATAGGAAGGAATCACCATGAAACCATCTTCTGGTTGTTCATTACTCAATTTCTGAGTGTTCTTCATCATGGATCGCAGCACTAGTGAGCCATCGACAGCTAAAGGTACAGTTACTAGATAGTATGAGAAGGTTCCCACTTCCTGTGCCGAAGGTGCAAGACAGCTCACAACGACATATACAACGTGCAAACCCCTGAAAACTTGAACAACCATCACTTCCCCATCCTTTTCTTCCTGAAGGATTGTGGTCTTATCCAGTCTAATGGTTACAGAAACGTCCCAAACAAAAGGAATCACCTCGTCTTTGTGTTTAGCGCGTACGTGGCAGTTGAGATCCTTGTAATAGCCAGTGTAGTTGCAGTTAAGTACGGGACAGGAACACGGGGCAAAAGCACAAAGCTTCTCATGGCTAAATCGATCACCATATAACATTTTCTCCTTACACCCGTACTTGGCATTAGGACATGAGACTCTAGATGTTTCTATGACCTTCTCCATGGCTCTGCAGCGAATGTAACCGACGGGTAATGTGCAGGAGGGACATATGTTCCTGACTTTGGCGCAGCACACAGAACAAGCTAGATGACCATTATCACACTAAACACAGAGTAATTACAATACCGCTGTGATACAAAAGGCTACAAAGATATCTAGAGAATTTAAAATCAAAGTTAATCAATCAGAGAAAAGGAAGCAAACCTGGAAAATGGGAATCTTAAGGGGCTCGCAGCAAATAGGGCAATCGAGAACATCTGGATCCAAAAGCGTTACGGAAAGAGAAGAATCTTTGGTTGAAGCGATCTGGCTGGTTACGGGATCAGAAATTCGTCTTGCCTCTTCTATCACCACTTCACGATCGCTGTCATCGCTCGTGGATTCAATTAGACGATCATCTTCTTCTTCGTCAGAACTTCCGGCGGTTTCTTCATCTTCATCGATGGAAGGAAGTCGTTGTCGTTTGCGGGATTGATGATTGCTTGATCCTTCTCCATCGTCTCCTCCAGAAACTGAGAATCTCGCCATCTTTTGATCGGATCAGATCCAAACGACTCGTGAGGAATAAGAACTATAAAGCAATCAAGTTATAGGCCGGGGAAATACCCAAACCGAACCGGTTTACTAAACCGATTCAAAAAATATACTAGATCTTTTGTAGGGAGGGATAGGGATGCTAAACGAAATCCCTATATATTAAAATAGAATCATTTTAAAAGTCGTAACCTTAAGTTTGTAATAATTAAAAATAACTTCAATTTTATGTGGTATAGTTCTTTGTCTTTTATTTTAATTTAGAATGATTTTAAAGCATGTAATATAATATATAGTCTAAAATTATAGAGCAATTCTCTAAAATAGCCATCTTTTAAGTTTTTATCACAAAAATAGATCTCAAAAATTAAAATGACCAAAATAACACTTTTTATTTTGAAAATTTTAAGTTTTCTTATTTTTTAAATTCGAAATCCTATCCCCAAAACTACACTCCTCAACTCTAAACAAAAAAAGTCTAGAATTAGTTAAACCAAGGGATATAAATGTATATTTAATAAAACATTTAAGTGCTATTTTGGTCACTTTAATTGTTAAGGTCTATAATTGTGATAAAAAAAATTTAGGTCTATTCTAGTCTTTTTCTCAAAATTATACTCTCTATCAATATAACATTTCGTAGGCTATAGTTAGTCGCATATATCAAATATTTATTGCTTCGCACTACGGTGGGCAATGGAGAATATGCTTCAACATTCGCCATGTCAGAGCTTTGGAACTAATTGTAAGGAGATGATCGAGATACTCAGGAGTCTTCATGTATGGCCTAACTTCTCAATAAAACTGGAAAAACTAGAGATGCTGAAGATCTGGTTTCCTGAATTTAAGATTTTTTATGTTCCTAAAGTACAGAACGGCGTTTATGATTCTCTAGCTTAGAGAGCTAGGTCTTTTTACCTTAAGATTGTGTTCGTTGGTTGTTCTATTCCGGTCTGGATTCTCAGACCACCTCAAGTTGTTTGAGTAATATATCAGCCGTTTGATGTCAAAAAAAAAAAAAAACTTTGGAATTACCTAATGTGATTAATATATATATATATGACAATTAATGATTTTAAATAATAAAGATTTGATAACAATCTGTATAACTTTTCTCATTTTGTTTATTTTTGGATTATTAAAATAAATTACACAATTACATTAATCATATAATAAAAATCTAGTTTTTTGTGTATGTTATATTTCAAATTTTTCAAAATGAGTATAAATTATTAAAACTGTTAAAAATATCACATAAACTTGTAGGATCAAGGTTTTAATTTTTTTACTATATTAAAATATAATGATTATAAGACCATATGAAGAAATAATTTTAGTTTATATATATTTCATATCGTTTAAATTCAACCATACATCGTATGAAAATACATACTTATATTTTGATATTTGCATTGAATATATATTGAAAACTTAATATTTTAATTTTGAAATATATCATTGTTTTTTTTAAATGATTATAAACTATTGAAACTACTAAACATCTCACATTAAAAAAAATTCGTTGGTGTAAAGTTTTATTACACAAATATGCAAATAATCACAAAATCATATGAGTAGAAACCTCATTTAATAAATATCCATATTAAAAATGTGCTATAATACTATGTTTATATCATTTAAATTTAATTATATATCATATACAATATATAAGATTGATTATTTTGATTTATTTACCATAATTGTGAATAAACAAGAGTGATAATTTAATTTATATGCATACGCTCATTTACTACATAATAGTAAATGATTTATTAGTTATTTGATATACATATTTATTATTTTATTATTTTATAATATGCAAAAAGTGCAGATCTTAATCTAAGTATGTATCTTTTTAGTTATTTTAAATCTTAAGTATTTTCTAAATCCCATATCAAAACAAATAAACGAAATGAGAATAAACTTTAAAATAAATATTTATATCGAGTAATAACCAAATTAAAAAAAAACACAACAAGAGAAAAATTGAAGATATATAGGATTGACACGTGAACGTAAACTTTTCATAACCATAATTAGTTTGTAAACCGTTAAATTATGATATAAAACTGAGTTACTTTTTAATTTGTTAATTTGTCAATTTTTAATTGTTTTTAAATCATTATGGTTATGTTAAATCAAGAGCATAATTAATTTTAAATTATTTATTTGTATTTGAAAAACTTAAAATATTGTTTCTAAAAATAATTTAAAATTTAACTTGATTTTTTTATAAAATTATTTTTAAAAAACTGTAAAAATATAATTTTTAATATTATTAGATAAATAAATAAATTATATTAAATTAGTTTTGAAACTTTATATATTTTAAATGCAAATATTTTACCAACTACTTCTTAAGAAAACATTAAGGAACTTGCTAATACTCTACCAATCAAGTCAACTGACACTCCATTTATTTTCCATCAGTCGAACACTGAAAAAGAAAAGATATATGAAATCTGGTCCACTAAATTCTAAGTTTTAATCTGAGTTTTAATTAAATTGTTTATGATCCTATGTATAGATAATTATATAAAAATTTCAAAATTCTAAAATTTCAATAAATATAAAAATAATCATATGTAAATTTTAAATTTGTCAATACAAAAATTTTATATTTTAATTACATACGCTACCTTATCCTAGTTGTTTTTATTTCTTTTAATCACAAAGGATTCGGAATATCTCTCTGTAATCCCTTTAATTCCGGTTCACCATTTTCACGAAGCAAAGACGATGGCTCCAACCTTTTTCAACTTTCAGGTTTCTCCTTCTTTCCCAATCTCTAAAACTATTATAACTAATCATTCTCACTCCCTCAAGAACTTGAAGAATCCGAGCTTAAACTCGCGATGCCCTTTCTTGATTAATCGAATCCGATGCTCAGCTTCATCCGACAGTGTCGGCAACACCTTAAGAACTTGCATGAATTGCAAAACCCAATTCGATCCCATACTCAACCATCCACAAGCTTGCAGATTCCACACTGCTCATTTCGGAGGTAAAGTTAGCTTCTTTTTATTTTGATCAAACGCTGTTTCAGGGAATGAAGAAAGGATTGTTTTTTTTTTATTTATTGTTAGGAGAGACGAAGAGGAAGTTCGAGAGTGTATACACTGGCGGGACGATGGATACACCAAACTCTGGGAAAGTTTTACAGTATTGGCATTGTTGTGGTTCTGAAGATCCCTTTGATCCTGGTTGTACTGCTTCCCCTCACTCCACATATGATGATTGATGCAATTTTTCTTTCTTGATGTAAATCTTAAAGAATGTAATGAAGTTGACATCAAGGAAAAGAAGAACAAAAGAAAAAGGAAAAGAATATGCTGTAGTGTTCAAATGCTGCGAATCGAAAATCTTTCTTCTTAATTCTCTTTAATCACATTACCCTTGCTATATTGTACAAAACAAGGTTAGCTTCGCTTGTCAGTTATGTGTTAGTTTTTCTTGTCGTCTATTGATTCTAGCCCTATGATCTTGGTTTTGCTTATTGTTGTGATTATAAAAAACGTTAGCTTTAGCCTTTGGTTTAGTTTATTCTGATGTTCTTCTTGTAAACTGTTTTTTTTTTTGTTGTCTGATTTTATATATAATTTGAGTTTTCTCTAGCTGGTAAGAATTAGGATGGGAGATCATTTAGTGTTGGTGGTTGATAGGTTATCGAGCAATTCTGGCCTCATAGCGTTAAAGGCAGACACGGTTAAGGAAGATGGTGCATCTGCAAAAGCTGATGATATATGTAAGAGAGAATTTGTACAATGTAGGATTTGTCATGATGAAGATGAAGATTCCAACATGGATACCCCCTGTTCTTGTTCAGGAACATTAAAGGTTCTTTTATCTTTGTTTTCAGTTGTTTCTATAAACAGAATTAAAGTTTTAAATTTTGATTCTTAACCTCAACAAGCTTTGTTTTTATCAACCGTCGCAGTTTGCACATCATCATTGCATCCAGAGATGGTGCAACGAGAAAGGTGACACCTTATGCGAAATTTGCCGTCAGGTTAGACAAGCAACAACATAATCATATTACTTTCTTGAAACTATCACATGAAACCTTGCTTGAATGACAGCAATATAAGCCTGGTTACACAGCTCCCCGCCAATTGTTTCACTATGCAGGCATCTCTATGAACTTCAGGTACTTTTTTTTGTTGCTCTTACCTTATATCTTCTTCTTCATCTGCAATGTTATTATTTCTACTGAGAATCATACTTTTGATGGGAATGTCACAGGAGTGATTGGGGAATAGAGGCACTCGATCTTCCTAACCCTTATTTTCTAACCTGGGATGCAACCGATGATCACGAGCTTTATTCGTTTCATAGCCCCACAAGCTTGATTTGCTGTCGCCTAATTGCCTTGCTGGTATGTTTTTTCTCTCTGTCTAGACTCTTGATAACAAAGCGCTGAAAGAAAAAACACAAATGATATTATCATCTTTATGTGCAGTTCATCTTTCTACTGTTCTTGCGCCATTCTCTTCCAGTTCTTTTAGGTGGAATCGATTATTTCTCGTTAACTTTGCTTCTGGTAAGCTACCGCTTCAACATATATATTCTGTCATTTTCCCAAGGCAGAGAATGATTTTTGTTGTCTTCTTGCAGTTACCATTATTGAAAACATTGGGAATCTTGCTGGCTGCATATTTATCTGTCAGGTCATTCACAGCTATACAACGTTGCAGGCATGAAAGGGTAAGAAAAAAGCTTCTTTGACTCCCAAAATATGATTCTTGCAGAGATATTAAAACCTTTGTTTTCAATTAGGATACAAGTGTAACGACCCAAAACCTAGGTAGGCCCATTTTCGCTAGTAACTAAAATTCTTAAGTATTTTACTTTGTCCCACATTGGAAGTTTAGAAAGTTTACCTCCTTTCCTTTCCCCTATATAATAAACTTTCACCTTCTCTTTTATTCTCATCAAGTCAAAGTATTTCTTTGCGTGTGACAAGTTGTTGAATTATTCGACGACCAGTCACTAAGTAATTTTTTTCTGGCGAGAGTTTCGGTCAAGTCCCCGGGCGAGTTTTTGGGCGATAGTTCCGGTAAGTTTATCACCCCTCTATTTCTAGTTTTGTTAAGTTCTGGTTAGAGGAATTTTAGTTTAGGAAACCCGCCTTTTAGGAAAGTTTCTATTTTAGGAAAGTTTCTATTTTAGGAAAGTTTCTANACCAGTCACTAAGTAATTTTTTTCTGGCGAGAGTTTCGGTCAAGTCCCCGGGCGAGTTTTTGGGCGATAGTTCCGGTAAGTTTATCACCCCTCTATTTCTAGTTTTGTTAAGTTCTGGTTAGAGGAATTTTAGTTTAGGAAACCCGCCTTTTAGGAAAGTTTCTATTTTAGGAAAGTTTCTATTTTAGGAAAGTTTCTAGTTTCTATTTTAGGAAAGTTTCTATTTTAGGAAACTTTATTTCTAGAGACTCTGAGCCTAAGTCGTTAATTTCCCTCGTGTTGCAGTTGACCTCAGCTGACAATCTTTCGTTGATCATTCCAGCCAGTGGCAAAGGTGAGGGTCTATTCCGTGAATCCCAATACTAGTGTAGAATTCTTTCTATCTTAGTTTAGATTTCGAAGCATGATCCGTCTGTTTGAATTGAGTCTGGTTGAGTCTTGCTTGATAGTTAGGTTATTAAATGTAAACCGGAATTAGGAGGTCTAAAGGATTCAACTATTGTTTGGATTGATTGATGTTAAATGGTTAAATACATATATACATAAATATATATTATAAAGTATGGATTATGTGATGAGTACGAGGGCCAGAGAAATCTGAGCTATCGACGTATATGAGTACGGGGGCCAGAGAAATCTGAGCTATCGACGTATATGAGTGCGGGGGTTCGGAGACATCCGGGCTATCGACGCATATTGGAGTGCGGGGGGCTCAAAGACGTTTGGGCTATCGACGCATATTTGTGTGGTGCGGGGTGCAGAGACGTTTGCATATCGACGCATAGTGGTGGAGTGCGGGGGTTCAGAGATGTCTGGACTAGCGACGCATATTATGATATCATATATCCGTATGAGGAGAATGCGGGGTGTGTGGGTTAGCTATACACTATGAGCGCATTGGTTGTTTTATTGTGATGCGTTAGGCATTATGTTTGTTCATGTTAGAGCTAAACTTCCATAGTGGGAGTTCTATCTTCTTAGTCAGTGTTTTTACGTGTTTAGCATCTCATACCTCACTGAGTGACTCCCCTGTTACTCACTCCTCTTTCTTCCCCCATTTCAGGTGATACTGACGATCAGGAGTGATCATTTCGGATTGGTGCTTTTGGGAGTTTTATTTATCTACTTTCAGACTTATGTTTTTATCGATATTTGAGATTTAATATGTTATTTGGATTTATGGAGTTTGGAGATGATTTATGCGATTTAATAAATGGAGATTTCAGACTTTTTCTTTATTTTATTATTTTGGAAAATGCGGGTGTTACAATTTGGTATCAGAGCGGGTTCCGTCCCGGCTCCGACCCGGGATGGCGATCTGTGAGGACCTGGTTTTATCGGATTTATAAATTGATTTTTAAAAATGATTTTTGGGGAAAATTGGTGATTTTTAAAATAAAAACAAGTAGCACCTTTCTGTTAATATTATTCTTGTTAGGAACGTCAGCATCAGGTTTCAGCAGAAGTTGACCATTTTGAATTTCTTCCTTTCAGATGCCGCCGAGAAAGAGTGTTGGTCGTCCTCAGACTGCGAGAATTGTTCGTTCCCAGACTGCCAGAACTGCTCAGGAGGTTGGAGATGAGCAGGTGCCACCTGTAATTCTACAGATTCCGGTTCCACCAATTGATCAGGATGCTTTGAGGCAGATGGTGCAGGATGCAGCTCGACAGGCTGCTCAGCAGGCAGTTCAGCAAGTTGCTCAAGAGGCAGCTAGACAGGCTACCAAGGCAGCGGCTCAAGAGGTTGCTCGACAGTTAGCTGCAGCTCAGCAGGGACCACGTGGACCTCAAGTTCAGGTGCAGAATGGTCCACAGATTCAGGTGCAGCAGGCCGCACCGGTTCAGATTCAGCAGGATCAGCAGAATCATGTTCAGCCAGATCAGCAGATTCCACCTGTGCCACCAGTTCAACAGGTTCCAGGGGTTTTTCAGGTTCCACCACCACCACCACCAGTTCTTCCTGGACAGGTTCCTCAGTATGATGAGACACTCCTTAGAGTGTTGGGACGATTGAAGAATGTGGATTTGGAGAAATTCCAGGGAGCAACAGATCCAGTGGAGGCCCATCGTTGGAAGCATAGGTTGGCGTCGTGTCTACAAGCTATCAATTGTCCGCTTCAACTTTGCCTTAATGTCGCGGTGTTATATCTGCGAGGTGATGCAGCATTGTGGTGGGATGGAGTGCAAACACTACACTAAGGCGAGTTGACATATGAGGATTTCTGTAAGGCTTTCGACAAGAAGTATTTTCCTAGGGAGGCACTGCACCAGAAGAAGAATGACTTTGAGCATTTGAAGCAGGGTACTAAGACCGTTAGGGAGTATGAGCATGAGTTTAGTCAACTCCGCATGTTTGCTGGTAACCACTTTGATGAGGAGGATCTGATCAGGAGATTTTTAGATGGGATGCGAGTTGATCTCCGGGGCAGATGCAGTGTGGTGACTTACACTAGCATAGAAGACTTGGTAGAGAAAGCTGTTGTGCAGGAGAGGTGTATTACTGAGGAGCAGAAACATTCCAAGGCAGCTCAGCCTAGGACTGGGAGGACTTCAGAGCCACATAAGAGGACTTGGGATCAGACTGAAGCACCTAATTGTGAGCGTTGTCGTCGCCACCATTTTGGAGAGTGTTTTAAGTGCTTTAGTTGTGGGCAGTTCGGTCATGTTGCTAGAAATTGTAGGAGTAGACTACCAGGTACGCAGGGTGCAGAAGCAGCAACACCAACAGCTCAAGCAACACCAACAGAAACAGCAGCTACAACAACTACGCTAGGACCTTGTTTCACTTGTGGTCAGATGGGCCATATCTCCAGGTTCTGCCCGACTAGGGGGCCTGCGGCCAAGCGTCCAGCCATAAACCCATGAGTATTTGNCATATCTCCAGGTTCTGCCCGACTAGGGGGCCTGCGGCCAAGCGTCCAGCCATAAACCCATGAGTATTTGCTACATGAGGCAAGGAGAGAGTGAGCCAACCGCTGGTACGTTTCTTTTTACTTTGGCAGTTTCATTTGTGCCTTTAGTCTTTGTGGTTGTCGTGTGTAGTCAGGAAAGAAAAAGTGT